CAAGAAAAAAAAAACCATTTCATTTACTTAATGTCGGTAAAAATTCAAAGGTATATGAAAAATAATATTTAAAAGCATCAACAGAATTTTTTTTAGTACGAATTGCTTGGATTATTTATTTATAATAATCATCAGAAAGTTTAGTTGTATATTCATACTAATAATTTAATTAATAAAAACATTTGCGTATTTTTTTAGTAAACAGCTTATTGAAAAACTTACATGAAGATTTAAAATACTTAATTATAACTAGCATTAATCATACTAATGAAATGATATATGTATATTCTATGTTTCTTGTTTTTATTGAAGAAAATAAATCATATTTCGTGTTTTGTATTTCATTTTCAATCGACATTAAAATAAGTACTTTATCAAATTTATTCATTTTTGTAATTAATCCATCGATAATCTAAATACATGTAATCAGAATTTTAAAAATAATCTCGAAAGATAAATTTGAGAAAACTTATTTCTATTCGTTGATCATATGTAAGAATGCATTCAATGACTTAAGTTTTTCTATGTTTGACGTCTATAAATAATAAGAATGTAGAAGATACATAATTATTAATGTTGTTCGTTAAGTTGTTGTTTTATGCTTCATTAGGATCAAATAACTGATTTAAAAAAAACAACTATTATCATCGCATCGACATGTGCGAAATTTGATCGACAATATAATAAAAAAGAAGATATTGTCTCTCAGGAATTCATGTTTTGATTTTTGTAATAGTAGTCATAAAAAGATCAATACATTTGCAGTTCTTCAACAATACTGATCAATGAAAAAAGATAAACTTACGAGGGAACCACCCCAACTGACTTGAAGCTTTGGACTTCATCCTTTTAGATTTAAGTAAGTCTCAGTGACACTAAGACATACTTAGAAATATTTCTGTTTTATTGCACTTCATTGCCTAGACATGACCAAGATAATGTCGTAAAAAAGTGAATTGTTTTTCATTTTTAAAGCATATAATTTCTTTGTCATCTCAATAGATCTAACCCAATGTTTATGTAGTCAGCTCGAATAATAACTTATTTGTTGCGCTAATTTCAACTGTACGGCTGTACTAACAATAAGAATATCAAATTGTAATTGTACCAAACTTAGTGACTAGTGATATCATAGAAAAAGAGAGACAAATAGAAAATAGAAGAACGACACTCGATACTTTTTGACTAGATGTTGCTCATGTTCTTATTAGAGAGAAATACTTGATGCACATAATATTTTATGATATGCATTACATATTACTGTCTGACATGAATTTGATACACATGTCAGAAAAAAAAAGCAAATCTTCTTCTATTTTCTATTTGTCTGTCTTTTTCTGTGATATCACAAGTCACTAAATCTCATACAATTATAACTTGATATTCCAAGTGCTAGAAAAATCACGAGTTTAAAATTACCACAAAAAATAAACTAACCTCCAAGCTGACTGTATAATCACTAACTTAGAGCATATCTTAGATATGAAGACTTATAAGTATGAACGCTTCCCGAGTTTTTGTTTAGTCTCACTAAGACCTACTTCAAGACAAAATATGGAGTCGAAAGTCTAGAATCAGATGGGATGATTTTTCTCCTGAGTTTTGTTTTTTTTTTTTTTATCCATGAATATCTGTGTCTCCATGGATTATGTTCTTAATACAATTTGTTTTGAATGAATTTCCTTAATGAATAACACTTACTATTTAGTAATTGAGATTTTTTGTCATCACTATAATCGATACAATGCATTTTAATTAAATATTTAAAGAATGCAAATTTATTCCATATGATGCTGTTTTCTGTCTCATACATCATTGTTACAATCTATCTAAATATTTCGCTTTGAAAATAGAGATTATATGTGAAAGTAATTGTTTTTATTGTTCGATTTTGAAAAATTTTCACACGTCCAATAATACTGATATGTATTAAATCAATATTTTATTTATTGTGAAGTAATGTTATCATCTTAAGAGAACTAGGATTTGTTTCACTGTATTAACGAGTTTTTTTCTTCACTTCATGAAATGATTTTTATGTTATTGGTTGTAAACAAACAATAAGATTCTTTACTTGTCGCCTTACATTTTTTTCTCTGAATTTTGACGCATTTTTCTCAAAAAACGAATTGAAAAACATTTCTGCAACTTGAATACTTTTAAGTGATGTTGAAGTCTATTCCCTTGAGAAAAAAAAGCATCAGACTATTGTATTTAATGAAACTTGACATATTTAACTTAATCTATTATATATATTTATTTTGATATGAAATTATCCTATGAAAATAATAGCAAAAAGTTGTTTGACAACATAATTTATCGTTTCTTTATCTGTCTTGGCTAACATCAACAATCTATATGCCGTATATTATTAAAACATAACAATAACAACGTAATTGCTACAAAGTAAACAAACGAATAATGTATCTCCGTTATTAACGTTCATGTTAAAGACAAATTTAACTATTGTCTACAATCCATGTATAGGACTTTTAAATCTACGAATGTTTTCATCTACTTAGAGAAAATTAGATTGAAAAAAAAAAGGAGGAAATTGAACTAAGGTAGAAAAGAAAAATATCCAAAATAAACTATAGGAAAAATGCCGAATGATTAAAATGCTGACTTATTCAAGCGTCGAAACAATACAAATTATTATTTAGTTGATGATAAAGGATCCAATATGTTTATTTCATCTATAGAATTTATATTCATAAGAAAAAATCTTTATTTGTGAAGTATAAAGTTGAGAAATGGAAAGAACCTTAATAAACAAATTAACTTGAAGCATGCATATGTTTTATATCTATTTTTTTCGGAAGTGTGTGTGTGTGAATAGGGAAAAGTGAAAAAAAAACACATCCATACCCTCTCACTATGCTTTAACAATCGCCTGATAATGTCGTCTTCGCTTCTGTAATTGACGGTTTGTGCTTCTATGTTCCACACTAGTAATTTCAAACAGCAGAACTATCATAAAAACTTATTTCTGTGAAAAATATCATACTACGAAAAAAAATGTTATTAATCAACACTTTAATGCTATGTTGCATCAAATAGTCGTTTTTTGATTGTTATATAATGGAAAAAATGAGAAATGCTTTACTAGATGTATTTACCAATCGATACAAATAAGAAAAATTCTACTGGTTATTATTTTAGAATCTGTTCAAAAGTCAAATCTATCATTTATATTCAATTCTTGAACAAAAATTAATATTATTAGCATTAAATGGTATTAGTAATAAAAATAATTGATTATTCGGATTTTGAATGTTTAATCTTGGCCCATATAACAAAATATAACAACAGAAATAATAATTTTATTAATTGTTTCTGAACGCGATTACTTTTAAGAAAACAAAGTAAATGGTCGAAATCATGATAGAATATATTTATTCATATTGGTATAGAAAAAAAATGTCTAAAAGTATTTTCGAGCACGATAATGTTGAGAACGTGAGTATAAGTGTAACTCTTCTCTTCAGCCGTATCCATATCTACACCCTTTATAATGATTGTTCAACTTCAAAGCTTGACATTTCTCATTCATCTTTTTCAGAGAAACCTAAGGTTTTTCTTCGAACGATGATCCTAATATATATTTAGTCTTTCTCAAAACATATATGATATTAGTTTAGCTTATGTAACATAATTTTGATTGTGATTTTAAAAAAATAAAACATACGTTGATTAAAGAAATAAAATAGTGCGGACGAACAAAAGAAAATAAAACTAACAGTTCTTAAAACAACATTATTTGATTATTTTGATAAGAGTAAGCATATTTATTTTCAACAAGTTTTATTAGAGAAAAAATGACACATCTATAAACATTTTGTCAATCAGGGAAAATCGTGCAGATGAATCGGTCCGAATGAACCGGTTAGAACTCTGTGCGACACTCTCACAATACAGATGGCAATATATCAGATTGATGATCTCTATGTCGTCACAAATCATAATAACATCATAAGAGATATGCTCAAATTAACCCTTTGAGGACCGAATTATTTTTAATCGAAAAAAACATTTTCAACCTTTTTATTTTATTTTAACTCAAGGTGGCTGCATAAAAATGTTATGATAATCAAAAGAACAATCTTTTTCATCTTTTAAACAAAATGGCAATTTGCAAGTAAAGCACTCGATGTTCGATCGAAAATCTGCTTCCTAGGTGCTACTATAAGCACACCTTCTTCTTTTTCCTTTCACAGGCAAATCCATTTCATTGTCAAAAGTAATTGTAAAAACGGTATGAAATGAAGTAAAGAGTACAAGTTCGAAAGAGAATTTATGTACTTTGCAAATTCAAGAACAATGTAAATTCGTCAAGGAGAACGGGAGTATATATATATCCAATAGAGAATACTCTCGAAAAACAAAAGATCAAAGGAGAAGAGAGAAATTATGGCATCATTGTGCCTTAGCAGCAAGAACAAAGGATATTTGAAAAGAATTTATATGAGAGAGGGAAAGAAAGAAAAGAAAAGTATGACATGACAAATGCAGTTGTTTATAACCTTAATGACCTTACATATTTAATAGTTTAATGTAAAATAAACACTTTTCTTTACTCAAAAAATAGATGGTCCAAAAATGGGCCACCGGTCCTCAAAGGGTTAATTAGAGGTTGATTCGAAACCGAACATTAATATAAGTCTTCAATCCTCAAGCAACTAAATAGTTGATTTATATTCAAACAAAATAAAACAAATGATAAGGTTCAATTTAAACATGTATATATAAAGCTATATATATTTTTTCTAGTTGTAGACAATATAAAAGTGTCTGAAATATGTATGTGCTCATAAACAATATTCTTTTTTGTCTTTTATTTTTTATTCTTTCATTGTTTTTATTAAACAACAAACATTAAAAAATACATTCAAATTTCTGAAACGTGCATCCAACAATTGTTTTTTCTATGTAATCAGTAGATTTAAAAAAATTATTATTACAATTGCTATACACATTAAAAAAAGAAAGAAAATAAATATTTATGGATTAATTGAATCTTTGTGTGGAGCAATATAAACTTCTGCACCTGATGGAGTATTTGATACACCTCGATTTGGTGGAAATGTATTAGCCTCATCATAACTAGGCAATAATGGTGTACGATCCATTGGTTTTCCTCTATAACCTTGAATTTGATGATATATATGCATCCATACACCATTATAAATACCCATCCCTATTTAAATAAATATTCATTTAAATAACTAAAGACATAAAATAAATTTTCAACTTACCAACAACTAAAAGAAAAAAACCTGCAATTTGTAATGGATAAAATTTTTGCCATGCCAATGCTAATGAGATAGCCCATATAAGTAATGTTCGACCGCTATCAAGTACCATACGAGTTGTTGATGATAATTCTTTTGTTACAGATATACCAGCAAAATTAAAAAATGCAATTGAAAGTATATTTCCTAAAAAAAAGAACAAATAAAAATAAAAGAAAATAAATAAAAGTGTATTCTTACCAACTGTTGCAATAATAATTTTATAATTATCAGCCATTTGACAAAATGCTGATGGTAAATCTTCAAGACGATGATCAGGACCTGAATTTGATCCTTTCATATGAATAAAATGAAACTAATTAAAAACAAACAAATTATATCCTAGAATAATGTTTTTGAAATTAATTACTGGAATAAGAAGAAGACCAAGTGTACAAAAACCAAATATTCCTTCCCAACCAACAGCTTGTAATGGTGGAATATTATATTTACCAATGAAACGTTCTTCATATACGACCTAAATACAATAATGTGTAATTGATTTAATTTTTCTATTTTTGTTTTGTCATACTTGTAAACTGGTAAATATCATTGCCAGAATTATAAGAAAAATACCAAGAAGCTTTTGAATACCTGTATGATTGCCTTCTGATTCTTTACTAAATAAAAGATCCGATACACCGACGACAACTAGACCAGCAACAACAGTAAGAATACCAAGCCAATGAATAAGACTTAATCGTTTTCTAAGAAATATTACACTGAAAAATAAAAATAAAAACATTCAAAGCTTGATTTAAATCTATACATATATATAATTCTACCTGAATATAGCCGTAAAAACCATCACTGAACCTCTTAACATTTGAAATGAACTAGCAGTTGTCAAATTTAATGCAAAATAAGATAAACATGTTGAAAGCATATCAAATATTGATGCTATCCAAAATATAAGTGGATTAAATACTTGTTCACCATCAAGTAAATGTACATCTTTCTTAATTTGTAATGGCCAATGTTGAACAATTTTAGATGATGAATTGCCTTTATACGTCATTTGAGCAATACGATAATGAGCTGTTGAATACCAAATAAATTTAAATACTAATAAACATAAAAATTCACCCACAAACATGCCAACGGCCTAAATGAAAACCATTAATTTAATATTAATTTTTTCTTTACAAAACAAAATTATTAACTTGAAGAAATGGATGCTCAAATTGTTTTGGTTCAGCTGTTCGATTACAAAAATGTGCCTCTTGTCTAATAACATAAATATGAAATTAAGAATGAAATAAATTACTAAATACCTATCAGCCCATTTTGTCGATAAAGTATTTATAGTTCCAGTTATTAACATAAGACCAGCAAGGAAGAGTTGATATGGTGTAAAAGCCATGATGATCTTAAAACATATTAGAAAATAATTAAAATTCTTTTATTTCATCAATAACCATAAATGTTTGAATTAAACTTAGAATAAATAATGTTTTGCTCTGATATCTGTTATCTTTACCTCACCATACTAGCTTCTTACCTTCACTCTTTTTTAAAACAAGACAAGTGCAGTAAAAAAATGTCTTTGGACTTGCATTATATACAGAGATAATTATTTTTTTATTTGATATTAATATTCAAACAAACATATATAGAACAAAAGAAGCAATGAGAAGAAAACACAAAGTCAATATCTGAAACATAACTTGTACGATCATCTAAACAATGACAATTATTTTTAGATCACTGATTCATTGGTAGAAATGTTTAAAATTGAAGATAAAATGAAAATTTGCCGTTTCATCAACACTTCGTCAGCATTATCAACAATTAAATACTATGACATGATAAAAAATAAAGAACAAAAAACGATATAAAATAAAATAATATCGATGCAATCGACATGTGGAAAGAAAAATTGGACTCTTTTTCAGCATGTTATGTTTGTTTCATTTTTTTATGATATTGACTATGAGTTGACGAAACATCAAGTCGTAATGTTTTATTTAAATTTTTTCTTATTGAAAATTATGCTTTTCACCTGTTAGCTATCATTGACAATTGGAATTACCATTTTTAGAAAGATTGTGGAAAATACAGAACGCGTGATATTTAAAAAAAAACTCCTTACACATTGTATCTAGGGAATTCCCTAAGATTCTAATTGATAAAAAACTATTTTGTATGATTGCTCTATCTCCAAGATATATGGTTTACAGAAGAGTAGACTATGAGATTCTTAGAAAAAAAGAACCTCCGTTTTTATTTGTTTTTTTACTGGCGAGATATATATATATTGTTGATGTGCTGCGTGATAAATATTGGTGAACTCAAACAACACACACATTCATACAAATCCACTCACACCCTGTTTGTTCAAAAGTTGACCGGTTAAGTGAGTTCTCTACGGAGATTTTGAAAAAGACATTCTGAAGCTATATCCCATTGAATATGAACTTGAAATATGACCGATCAGTAAAAACAAAGTTTTCCTATTCGATCTATCCAAGTCCCAACTTTCTAACATGTTTCGTTTCAGAGTTACAAGGATTGTCTTGAGAACCCCGACTACAGCTAATTGATCTTCGAAGACTCCAAAAGAGCTTAAGACAGGAGTATTTCATCATGCTGAGTCGAATGGTGATGGTTGTTTTCAGTTCTAGAATGACCTGAGACTCATATTTCAGTATTTTTGAAATTTCAAAAACTTCTCCTATACACACTATAATAATCGAAATTTTAGAAACCTTGAAAGAGTGGTTTCAGGTCACTTGGAAACTGGAAACAAATATCACTATTTGAGGAAGCATTATAAATTATCCCTGACTTGAGCTCTTTTGAAGTCTTTCAAGATCAAATCGCTGAAGCCTGTAGTCACAGGGAATTGTTCTACTTCAAGTTAAAATCTGATCAAAAATTTCTTCAACATATCCTTTTTTTCAGAATCCGCGCAGTTGAACTCAACTGATTGATCGGTCGTTGACCTACCAGATATTGACATAATTATATAGCACAGAATCTCCTCTCTTGAATAGTGAAAACTTCAGACCTATGTGTTGTTTCTATAAAAAAAACCAGTTAGATCCATTAGCTTAGGAAAACGAGAATAGGATCGCTTAACATAGACACTTATCAGATTGAGTTTTGAAAAAAGAAATTCTTTTCTCATCGACACAATACATTATTTAATAAATGAATTATGAGCTATTACAATTCATCACGAGAAAGATTGTTTATCAATTATTAAAATTTCAGAATAGAGTTCGTCTAAATTGAATAAATCAGGGTTTTTCATTTGTACTAAATATTCGAGGTTTTGCTAATTGTTCAATAGTTTCTCTATGTTTTTCTTGTTTACTAATAATATTAATATCCGGAAAGTATTCATTAACAGTTTGTAAAATTTTTTTATTTCGGTTTTTCATATCTTTTTCTTGTTTTTCTTGACGAACTTTTTGTAATCGATCACGTATTCGTTGTTGATTAATTACATAATTTAAATTTCTAGAAAAAATTAATCATAAAATAAATTTATAGAATTTTCGCAATACAAAAAAACTTTCATACTTATATGTAAAAGGTTGAACTATTCGATCAGTTAGATATCGCTGAAGTTTTTCTACTTTATCAGTTTCAGATTCTATATCAGATTTCTAATATGTAAAATGTAAAATTAAAACAAAATATTGTTATAAAGAAAAAGATTCTTACTAAAATCTTATGAGGCATTGTTTCATTTTGTACTTGTAATTGCTTTTGATTGTTCAATATTCGAAAATAATCTAATGTACGCCAATGTCTTGCATCAATATGTTCAATAATTTTACGCATTGAATCGGTTTTTGTTACTAAACATTATTAAAGCAGACAAGATAACAATGACTTAAAATGTTATTGTTGATCTCTATTAGCATTGATGAAAAACAGACGATTTCCAGTTAAGTAGAATCTTCGATGGTATAAATAAAGAACATGAACATCTCCTTGTTATATAGTTGATTATCTTAGGTACTGTTTTTTAACTTTTAAAGTAACCTATGACCAAGGCAGATTTGAATTCAATCAAGCATATTTTATGATGATTTATGAAAATAAGAAATCCATAATATTTATTGATGCAGTTTTATAGCTTCTCTCATAAGCGACGAAGCAGATAGGAGAAGGTCAATGATCATCAGATAGGATGTCAGACTCCTTTTCCAGAGTTTCTTAACAATAGGAAAGGCGTTGAAAGACATTAACAACAAGACTTAGACTATTTTCGAACAGTCTAAAGCTTTTAGCAAAGTTTTAATTTTTGAAGTACGTTTGTGAAAGTTCTAAATATTGTGCTTTTTTTATTTTTGCGCAGAGAAAAATTTATATGCAAGACGTCAATTATGATGAGTAGTGATCAAGAAACAACAGCGAGGCAAACAAAAAATAAAAACAATTTCCATTCGCAATATAGAAATAAATAATATAGATCACTTTTCTGACGATGGATTACCCTTAAAGACAACTATAGTCTATTGGAGATTTTTCACTGAAGATATTTTGTTTTAGTATAAGGAGACTAAAGAATATATGTGAGTTGGACACAATAGTTTTCAAATGTGTATAGACAACTGACACACTAGCATTTAGAATTCTCTCAGACTCGAATAAGTCAAATAAAAGATGTAATGTCTATTTTTTTCCTTAAAACGATATCTCATTTTTTTTTTGACGTATTGTTTATTCTTATCTGAGAAGGACTAATCCTATTCCATATACATATGTAGTGTATACCTTTTTGTCGACCGATAATATCATGTACAGGTACTTCAAAATCATATTTCATAATAAAATTTCTTCGATCAGCAATTTTTTCGGCAAGACGAACAGTTGCCGAAAACACCGTTATACCATAAAAAACACATATAAAATAAATTTGAAATAGAAATCAATTAAATTATTTATCCTACTGAAATATCAAACATTGAAATCGCACTTTTCTTATGATTCAAAGCTTGCACAATATCATGAACACCATGAGTTGTTAATGGATTAAATGATAACTAAAATACAAGTGAATAAATAATTTGATTTTTGAATAAAAAGAAAAATGTTCATCTAACATTTATTCTTTGAAGTGTTGAATTTTTTTCTAAGCCTTCACTAATCAATTTTGCACTTGCTCGATCAATATTACAATTACTTATATTTAAACGATGTAAAAATTGATTAACAATTAATACTCGACGAAGAGCAACACTTCCATCATAACCAAGATTACTCCATGATATATCAAATTCTGTTAAAGTTTTATTAATCTTTAAAAAGAAACATGAAATTAAAATTTCATCAATAAAGAAAAGTCAAAATGATTACTTCAAATCCTCGAAATAAAGCTATTGAGGCATAACTTCGAATAAAATTCCAACTTAAATTTAAATCTATCAATCTAATATTTTCCGCTAAAGTACAATAATATTTATTATTCTTAAAGAAAGGATGACTAATTCTATATACTTAATGCACCACCAATAAGTATACATGCCATGTCTTCAAATTCATTTCCACTTAAATTTATTTCAATTAGTCTTTTATGTCGACATAAATTACCAATAGATCGACCATATGAATCTTGAATACCACAATTAGCCAAAGATAAATAATTTAATGATGTACAATAATTAATTGTATCAACTAATAGTTTAAAACTTTCCCTACTTAATTTATTACATGATAAATCCTAAAAATCAACAAGAAAACTATCACATTTTTGTTTTACAATCTTATTTTCTTTAGATTTACTAATAGATTAAGATTAACACATTTTCTTAATCCTTGACAAAGGATACGTATTGAACTTGCTATTAAATCAATCGAACTTAATATTAAACTTTCAAGATTTGCTTCAATTGCAGTTGCAAATGCACGTATTTCATTAAAACTAAATGATCGATTATGAACAGCTATATTATCATGGGAAAGTAGACTATGTAATTGCCAATCAATTGCTATGTCAAGCATATGACAACTATTTTCATATATATGAATTCTTCCTATTTAAAAATTCAAATTAATCTATTCGAAGATTTTATCATAATTACCATTGTTAGATGGAGTTTTACATCGTAAAGGTATGAGAATATCATCATTTGTTCGAACTTTTTTATTAGATTGAAATTGAAATGGAAAATTTATTTGACCAAATGTTTCATTTAAACGATTACTTCGATGTGCTGTCAGTTTTTGATCAAATGATAAACGTGGAAGTGTATTATCATGAGTTTGATCTTTAGAATAACAATATTTTTTTTTTTATGAAACAAAGAAAACTATACTGATACCTGTTTCATCGTCATCTAAATCAGTATCAAAACTTTTCTCATTGAATATTTCCATTTTGTTTCAATCACTAATATGAATACATATTGACCAAACAATCAACACAATTATATCAATTCTCTTTTATCTCATCAAATATTTAATACAAATGAAATGTTATTGACAATCGAAAAGATTTCAATTAAATAAAAAGAAAAAAAAAAAGAACTTCTCTCTTTTCCGATGAGATCGACAAGATGAATGGAAAAAAAAGTATAATGACAAATGTTTTTTTTCTTTTTTTTTTTTTTTTTTGAATTTACTATATTTTTTTTTCTTGTTTTTTCATTCAAAAAGAACGTACAAACAAAAGACAAGCATGTATATTAGTATATAGAGTTTGTTTAATCTTGCATGTCTTCTGGAATTTCATGAGGATTAAGAATACCTAAAATAATAAAAATAAAATTAGAATTTCGATGTTTTTTTCTTCTCTGAAAATTTTAACTTACCGGGAACACTCATTTGTACTTTACGTTTTTCTTCAGCTGCACGTTTTAATGTTTGTTCACGGTCTTCTAAATACAAATCAGCCGTATCATTACCAGTAGCTTCTCGTATTTGAACAAGAAAATCACGTAAATGTTCTTTAAAACCAGCAATATCTTGATCTAATGTAACGAAACCTTCAATAATAACTTTTATTTGATTATCTTGTAAATGTGGAAAAGCTGTTTTTAATAGATTAGCCATAAATTGTTCAACATAAAGTAAATTTTGTGATGGATCTTGAACTTCAGGTGCCAATGGAACTTTAATAAGACCTTGTTCAACAATTACAAATAAGTTGGCTAAGATTTGAGAATGTGCTGTTAAACCTGAAAATAAACAATATGATTATTTCTTTTATAAAAGTTGATGATATGTAATTTGAGCAATTTGAAATGTAATTGCTGTATTTCTATTTCAAATGAGCTATGATAGAAATTTATTGATCGCTTACTATATCGAAAAGTGAGACTATGAAACTCATCTATCAATCAAAAGACAATCAATATAATGCCTTCTATTCTTAAAAGAATAATAGACAAAGTGGACACAAATCGATCTACAATCGATATTATCTTTGTCCCAATTAATAGTTTTTCTTTTTGGTCCATAAACCATGAATTACTGATTAGAATAGAGAACAATTATTACTACATTTCTTCTACTGTTAAAAACAAACTCATACTAATTATATCGAACACATGTCTTCCAGTATTGTGAGTTATTCCACATTCTTAATGAGTATTTTTCATCAAAAGATCTTGACTATTGTAATGGATAAGAGATGTGTCCAAATCAGACCTACAGGAAAGAGAAGTTGATGAGAAACAGGGTTAAAACTATGAGACAAAAGTTGTTCCAATCGCAACTAACAATTAAAGTTCAACATTCTTTCGTTTTAAGCGAACTATCTTATAAATCATCAATCAGAGCATAATTCAAGAGCAATAGCACAAAAAAAAATACTAGTCATCGACTAAGCAAATCAAAAAGAGAATATTGAAGTTGTTTAGACGTTGTAAGAATAAATTCTGAAATAGTTTTCTATAGACCGAGACTCAAAAAACTAAAGTCACTAGGATCAGGATAAAAAAATCATTGAGATTGGGACCCACAAAACTAAGGTCGTTGGGGCTGAGGCTAAAAATAATTTTTGTCCCTCACACCTCTATTTGAGATAGATAAGTTATTGAGAAATAGATAGTAATTCTCTGAATAAAAATCAATGTCTTAGTTTATATATTATTTCTTCTAGTTATACATACCTGATGTATGTGAACATTCGGCAACAACAGCAAAAATATGTTGCATTGTTTCAAGATAATAAATTTGATAAAATGTTTGTGCTGCTTGTGGATCACATGTTTGAAATTTTCTTAACATAATTTGTAAAATTTCTAAACCTAATTCTGATATGGTACGCATTGTATGTTTTAATGCCCACATAATAGAATCATAAACAAGTTTAAATTGTGTTGCATTTAATGCCAATAATGCTTTAAAAAAAAAAATTTCAATATCTTATAAAATATATTTATAAAGAAAAATTTTATAACATACCTGAAAAGCAAACATTAGTTACTGATTGAAGAAGTATATAGAAATTCTTTCGATGATCAGGATAATCTTCAAAATTTTTATCAATCATATGAAGTGTATGTTCAAATGTTAAATCAAATATTTCTGGTATACGATTTGTTATACGATCTTCAACTTTATTAATTAATGTTGCTAACATATTTAATACTTCAGATTCACGAGCTTCTGGATGACAATCACGATAATCAATTAATACAAATGTATATAATGGTGTTAAAAATTGATCAAGAATTTGTTGAACATTTGTTGCTTTTGAAAAATAACTACCAAGTAATATTAATGTATCTTCTTTAACAGCTATCATAGATTTAATTAAACGTTGTTTAACAACCATTGGTCCATTCATACGTATAGCTTGATTTATATTTTCTGATGTTACTTTATATATATGTAATATATCTTGATAAATTTTTGTTAATTGATGTACATATGGTGCACCTAATGCTTTTGAAGCTCGTATATTTGTTTTAAGAATATTTAATATATTACTAACAACTTCAGGATCTTTTAAACAATCAACAGTTTTTTTTGCTTCTGATATAATTGTATTCCAAACATCATTTGGTAATTGCATATATTTTTCAATTAATTTTGTTTGTTGAACATTATCAACACTAGCTGCAATCATATTACCAACAGCTTCATAAAATGTATGAACTTGATGTGGTTCCAAATGACAAATAATACCATTTATATTAGTTAATATTTCATCGACAAATGCTTGGGATTCACCTAATTGAATTGTTACAAAATGACGACGACATTTTTGTGCAATTTTTATAAATGTATCGCATGCCATATCTTGTACACCTTCGTGCGTTTCTTTAATAAATACAAACAAAAAAAAAAAAAAAAGAAAATTTTTTTATTAGTTTTTTTTTTCAAACAAAGAATAATAATAGAAGTCATACCGTGCATAAATTCAAAAAGTTTATTAACAACTGTTTTAAGAAATTTCCAATGTGCACGAAGAAAACGAGGATATTGACCGACGACATACATGATATTTGAAGCGATTATAGCTTTATTATCTTTACCACGTTTTTGTTCACATAAGCCAAGTAATTCCTAAGACATAAAAAAGAATTTTTTTAAGAGGAAAAAATAAAAATAGATAAGATAAGATTTACTTTAATAACAGTAACAAGAAAACGTTTTTCATCATCTTCAACCATGGCACCTGAAATTGAACCAATTGCCCAACAAAGCTAAACAAATAATAATAAAATATGGATAGTGTTTAATAGAAACTTTTCTAATTGAGAACGACTTTTAATTTTCTATAACAATTATTAGTTACTTATGTTTTACTTCTATTCATTATGTTTCTAATGTTTTCATTTTTAATTAATTATTTGTTGTTCAAGATACACTATATCACTCTACCCTACAAAATATGGTATGGCAGAGCAAGGTTTAGAAAATTTTTCTCAGCCGATGCACCAAAAAATTACTCCACACTCTCTTTAATTTAGAGGCGGAATACTGAAGGTAATCGTCAGTCCCTTCTAAAATATTTTTCCATTTTTCTTAGCAGCGAACATCAAACAACGAGCCAATACAACTTTCAATGGACTTCAAAACATATTTTGTGACCATAATCACCGTGCTCTTCCTTTCCTAAAATCCTAGATCCGCCGCTGCACTTCCAGTATTTTTCGAATATTTTCCATTTTCATATTTCAATTAGGAATAGATTTCTTTGAAATTAAGAAAAGTCTAAAAGATCTCAACATTGAAATGATAATCACTTTATCAACTTTTCATCAATTCAAAAAACTGAAATCAAGAGTAAAAATTTCTTATCAGTAAATTTTTTTTTTTTTTTTCGTGTATAATTCTTATACTATCACTTTATCAATAAAATAAATAATGACTAAGAATTTCGTCTACTAATTTGAAAAAAAAATACATACTGTGTTTAAATTTTTCCATGACCATTCGGTACCATTAACTTGATTTGCTAATTTTTCTGTCATAATTGCTTCAGTATCAACATAATCCAAATGAGTCAAATAAACTAAAAAGAAAAAAAGGAGATAACTTCAAAAATAGAGAATGAGAAAAAAAAATATTTTCCATACCAAGTGTTTCACGCATATTTTTATAAAGATTAATAGCATCTGTATCTTTCATAAATTCTCGTACAACTTCACCACGTTCATTTTCTACAACAAGTACTTCTTCTGGTCGTGCCATACGTGAAATCATTGTGCGTCGAACCTTTTTTTTTTTAAACAAAATCAAATAAAATTTTTTCCTATACAGAAGAAAAAAAAAAAAAGTTAAATTAAATCTTTACTTTTGAAAGTATAACACTATAAAATTGACGTCGTGTTGGTACATTATTTGAATTACTTGAACGTAAATATGATGGTGTTATTTGTTGATATGGAGCTTCACGATAAAGTTCAGCACTTAAAATATTCCAATATTCTAAGCATATTTTAAATATTTCAATTTCTTCAACTTCTGATATTAAAACAAGATATTGTAATGCTTCAAGTAATGTTTCTTTTAAATCAGGTGTACGTTCAATTAAAATACCATGTTCTTTTAAAAAACTTGATAGAAATAATGCTAAATTTTGTATAAATTTTTGATCATCATCTTTTGCTGAACGATATGCAACTTTTAAATCAATTGATAATGGCATTATCTATTTAAATAGAAATAAATTACAAAAAAACAATAAAAAAAAAATTGTTTTTCTTTTTGATAATTTTTACCGTTTTAAGTTGCATCATTGTTCGACGAAAAAAATCAATAAATTTATCTTCATATTGTGCAACTTGAATACTTGCTAAAATGATTGAAAAAATAAATTTGACATAAATTAAATGTCTCTTTATTAGTGGGAAAATGTTTTCATAAGATATCCTTAAACATATGACTCATTTACACGTCATTTAATAAAAAAATTGTTCGAT